AGGCGGAACCTGAAAGAAAGAAGCGATCTCTTCACTTGTTAGCCGATCCAAGAACAAAGCGATCGATGGCTATTGCTTTGTTCTTGTGTTTTGTTCGTTTTCACGTATATTTTTTATTAGGCGCAGGCAATGCTGTTTTTATTTTTGACCTCCTAAGCCTAAATTCCGTTGGGCTCTCTCAGTCGCATCAGAGAGCACGGACATTGTCACTTTAATACATCTGTATATCGAAAACAAAGTCATAAACTTTTTTTACATTTAAATGGACCCTCATTATATTCTTAAATTCCTCATCTCAATTACTAGAAAATGGCAAAGTTTAATCAAAATCGACCCATTAAATTGAACGAACTCAATTCTATAAGCGACGTGCTGGAGACCGAGGAACATCGCACGACAAAGTCGCTCGATTAGTGCGATATCGCTTTGTCGCGCTCGCGTGCAATGGTCTTTCATCTCAAAAACGAAGCCAAGGACTTCCATTTTTTATTACATTTTCGGATTCCTCGTCGTAATTATTAAAAAATGGCAAAGTTTAATCAAAATCGATCGAACACAATTCTGTAAGCCTCTTCTACGTGACTTACAGAATTATAATGCTCCTGTCACTCTGGAAATTATCTGTACTCGCCTCCCCCATTTTCTGCGCACATTTTGATTTATCTCCACGTTCTTCCAGACAAGTTGACACAAGTTATAAAATCAATCTCCAACAGCCGTTTACAGGTTTTCAATCATTGTACAGAGGAATTTCCTCTTTTATAATGTAATCGGTGAAAGAAATATTAGTTGAATATTGTTTTCAACTCGGTAACAACACCAAATAATTGTTTTTACAATAAACGTTGCTCGATATCTTGTTATAAATTCACCAAGTGATCCGTTTTAAGCATGAAGGAAGAAGACATTAAACATTTCTCCAGACATTTTCAAGCGCATTAATGACCTAAGTCGTTTGTAAAACGCATGAACGACTTAACAACTGTAATTTTCGTCGTTTCATAAAAAAGAAAAAAAATTATTATGATTAGAAATGATTATGTCTAATCAAAAGCAAATTTTATAATTTAAAATAAAGATAAAATTTGAATTTTAAAATATAGGCCTATATAAAAAAAGTTATTGACAAAACTTATTTATAAAATCGTACTTCCGTTTTATGTTACCAGCATAGAGGTATGAAGGAATACATGTCGAGAGTTGATATTTGATCACAGAGTATTAGGTGCCCAAATCATAAAAAAATCCAGACTTGTAGGTAGTCAGGGGACCGAGAACCGAGTCAAAATAAAATTCAAAATGGCGACCCTCTTCTACAAACAGACAAAACAGGCACCTCACCCCACCGAAGTCAGGTGGGGAGAGTACCACCCACAGTCATTCTAAGAGGTGAACTCTGACCTTAGGACCGAACACGTAGTTTCTTCTATGTTAAATAAAATTTGTAATCTAATTTTGTAAATTTAGGAGTGCTTCAAATATGACGTCGTTAAAACGGTTTTATGTCGTTACAAGTGGGTTTTTTTTAACATTATCTAGTATAGTAAAATCGTGAGACCGATAAAAATTTGACGTTATATTAGGGTTGTCGTTACATCCGATGACGTTATAATCGGGTTAATTAATTATTAATTTTAAATTAGCATAAGAGCAAATTATGATTCGATTAAGTAAATTTANTTTTTTTTAACATTATCTAGTATAGTAAAATCGTGAGACCGATAAAAATTTGACGTTATATTAGGGTTGTCGTTACATCCGATGACGTTATAATCGGGTTAATTAATTATTAATTTTAAATTAGCATAAGAGCAAATTATGATTCGATTAAGTAAATTTAATTTTGATTACATTTAAGAAATTTAAATGTCGAATTTTTAAATTAGAATGGAGAAAAATTTGGATTGATGGAATAAGACAACGCAACACGCGGCGATCTAACAAAAGGGGGTGCTTAAGGGGATGACTTTCTGTAGGAAAGTCGCCCCTACTTAGAAACACGGAAAACTCCACGCGGCTAGCCCGCTGTTCAGGTGCGAACCCGCGACTAATGTTCAATGGTATTTGAAAAAAATTATAGTATAATTAAATTTTAATTAATTTAACAAATTAACTTTTTACATTTGTTTACTCGTTATTTTATTAGTTAATAATTGAGGTGTGAACTAAGTTGTGTTTTCTTTTTTCTCTTTAAATTTATTTCATATACAAGTATATAAGTAGATCCTACATTTGTCTTTCTTAAATGAGAAGTTATCTCTTACTATTCGCTGTAAGTTTAAGAAATTAATTAAACCGGTATCGAAATGTCCTATTTAAGTACCGTTTCCTTATAAAAGTCTTCTTACGAGAATGTAAATATTACTTGTAAATTTAACAAATTCCATCAATGAGTTACGTAACTTTTCCGACAATAAAGTTAAAATTGTGTGTGGAGCCATCTGTTAAGAAATTTTATTTTAAAATACTTTTTATATTATTATTAGAAAATGGTAAAAAGCTTTATTTTGAGGTAGAGACGAGTTTTATAATAAAAATTATAAATCTCATTAATTACAAAAAAGTTAAACAAATCTGTAACAATTTACTGAAAGCTAAAAATTAAAGACATTTTATAAATCTGGAAACTACTCTAATAAATGATAAAGGGAAAAGTAAACATTTTTGCTCAACTATGGATTAACATTGACTCTAATAACAACTCTCCAAAAACTTTGAAACATGGCTAAATTTCTTCTATTCAATTATCTTCAACTTTTAAATCATTTCATAACGAGTAGGCCTCTTAGATTTAATATTTACAATGGAGGAATTAAATGATTCAATCAACAGGATGCATAGTAACTCGTCACCGGGCAGTGATGTTATTCCGATTAATTTTTTAAAATTACTACCAAATCTCGTAAAGACTAAGTTATTTAATAAAATGTATGATACTTTTTCATATCCTGCTTCTTGAAATTCCGTATGTCTTTACATTATATTTAAAAATGGAGGTAAACTTCTTCCCAACAACTATCGACCAATATGCTTCGCAGCAATCCTAGCAAAAGAATTTCAGCAATGGATCAGAGAAATGGATTTAGAATCTAAATTTCAATATGAATACGTAAGAAACAAAGGTACAGAATCGGGGATATTTTTGTTATCATCAGTAATTCAACTCTATTTGTTAAAAAGCACACGACTTCCATAGATATGGAAAAGCCTTTGATACAGTTTACGTACCACTTTTAGGCTCAAAACTTGAGAGACAAAGGATCAGGTGAAAATGTTTCTTTTACAGTGTTTAAATTATTTTGGGATTACAATACTAATATCATTTAAGATCCCGAGTCTAAAAATATAAAGATCTTGATCGATCTCCATACTTTCTCTCGGTTATACAAAGTATAACAGCCAGGAAAGTAAAATATAAACGAAAATAAAGCCAGTACATGCGGAAACATATTGTCAATTTATTGTTTTCCACAAAATTTTATAAATTTAACATGCGAATTAACTACATTTAGAAAGCTACTAAATGTACAGTACAGTACGTAGCCTATAATGTTAGAAATTTCGTTAAGAGTAATCGAATGCAATTAAATACGATATTAAATTAAATTATGTAATAAATATTTCTATGTTTTGCAACAATATCTTTATTATTGCATCATTTTAGGCTATTACATATATTTATAGTTTAAAGAAATCTATGTTGTAACTATACATAAGCGTGGAATTGAGTCTATCATAAGATCGGTTTAGTTAATAATTACTTATCACATAAAGTAGCGTGTCTGATCGACGAGATGTTTTATACACCGTGACCGACAGAGCATTAATATTTTTGATAAAATATCATTCACATAATTTTGCTATTGTATATTTTATTATATCCGAGTTCAAGTACTGTAAATCATATATTATTCACTATTGGAATCCATGTATTGTTAACTGCTGAGCTGAGCATGGAGTAAGTGATGAGGAAACATTTATCAAACTGTCTGCCGAGACCGTCGAACATCTCTACAATAAAACACAGTTTTTATTATATAAATTATATCTAGTTATAAAAAAAATAATTTGCTAATCGATAGATCAGAAAAGAGCCCAGAAAATTTCATTTAACGGGAAAGGAGCATTGAGGATTATTGAATTTTTCGTTATTTTAGGGTCAATGCTTCGTGTTAATATTTCCTCGAATTCCGAAATCGAGTTTCCTAAACTGTAAATAATGATATTGACATTCAAGGCGATAGAAATATTTTTCCTGGATGTCTCTGTTAAATGTAGAATAAATAAAGTGCTAAAAATGCCATTAGCACTTAAAATAGGATTTGTGTAAGGTAAAACCTTTATATTTTAACTTGTATTTATAATTTTTCTTTTTTTTGGAGACGTAAATGAACAGGATTCAGAGCTTATAGGCCTATAGGTGATTGGATAAATAAATATTTATGAAAATTGAAGACAAATTCGGTGAATTTAAAAACATTCAGAAAGACATCATATTAAATAATTATTTGTGTCAGAGATTACAATTTATTTGTGGCTTTGATTGATCGTATAAGCCTTGTGCTACCGCCAACGGAGGGGTCTCTCATAGAAAACCCTCTCTATTTAGGTACTAGACAGGCGAAGAAAACTGAAGTTTCCTCTTTGTTATATGCAAACTAACGTATAGCGATTTTATCCATTCGACCATTAGTGAGCAAATTTCATCACTAGAATTCAAGTTGTCTGAAGTTAATATAAAACTTAATTAAATAGAAATATGGGCTATAAGTTGGTTCTCTAACAGATCTCTTTTGTCAAAAAGACATCAAGTTACATCGAAGACCATTGAATTAATGTAAATAAGAACCTTATCCAGCAAAAAAGTTGTCCTTAAATATATAAAAAAAATTAAAAACTTTAAATAGGCNTAAATGGATGTGTCATATTATTTTTATTAAAATTAAAATTTCTCGTTTAAAATTCAACTGATAGGCATCAATTTTTAGGATAATATGTGAACTCAAAGATTTTAGAGAGGGGAAACCATTTTATTTGCAAAACATATGCGGTAACTGAATAGAATTTATGAATAATTTTCTCCATTACAATGGTTCAAGTATTATAAGTTTAGGTTTATAGCATATGGAAACTCACCTCCTCTCACTTGTACATTCCTACTGCCAACAATACCCACAGCGTTAGAAGCAAGGCACTTATATGTAGCATCATGCACGTCTTGTCTGAAGTCTTCTGCACGGAATGGAAGGAAAACAAGAGATCCATCAGGTCTGACGTGGCGAAGTCCAGCTACATCTGTGACTTCGTCTCCCTCTCTGTTAACCCATCTTATACTTGGAATTGGGTTTCCTTGAGCCGAGCAAGATATCACAGTACCCGTTGAATTGGCAAAATCCACACGATCTGGTGGTTCGTGGATGAAAAATGGTCCTTGTTGCTCTAAACTTAAACTTAGTCCTGCAAAAATACATCAAGTTGTGAGTGAACGATTCTGTGCTTTAGTATCTTTAGGAGAATTGCTTTAAAGTAGTAGTTGAAAGAACTTTTACTGCTGAAATCCTCAGTGCAAAATAAAATTGGAGGGGAAAAAATCTATCACTGAATGCATAAATTTTAATTATCTTGCATTGTAAATGTAAAATTTGATTATGTTAATTTTTAAAATTCCTAAAAAGTTTCTTTTCAAATTATTACGCGATTTAAAATTTTAGTATATTTGTATGTCTTATGTAGTTTAACTAATTCTATAAAAATTAAATTTACCACATCAATCAATTATTCAAATTGGCTAAGATAATTAAATACAGAACATGCTGTTTAAGTTAAAGATGTGAGGCATTAACATGTCCGTTGAGCGTAGAAGAAACTCTTACAAATTTATTTTAAAGAGTGAAATTACTTTCAAACTTTGACAAATAAGATCTGTAATTTAACGTTTCAAGCGAGATCAAATAAATTTGATAAATCTCAAGATATTTTATAAAATACAAATATGAAAACTAAATATTTTTTACAATTTTTATTCATATTAATTCATATGAAATTTATATAATTTTAAACTTGAATAATTTTATATTTAAAATAAAATTTATGTTTGAAGTCATATTTCGCTATTCTTTGACTTAATAAAACAATTGCACAAATTAAATTACAGATTAAAATTATTTTACAGATAAAAAAAATTACATATTATCAAATATTATGCGTATTATTGCACCATTTTGATTATATAATTTAATGATATTTAAATATTTTAGACTCAGAAAAGAATTTTATTATGTTTAAATTCGATTTAAAGAAAGCGATTTTGTTTTTATTTTATTTTATTTTGTTTTAAATCTCTATTTTACTTGTAAAGTTAAGTTATCGCGCGATATATAATCATCCACTACTGAAAATATTTTATAAGTGTTTTTAATTTTAATTTTGAAATTAAATTTTTAACAACTATCAGCTGCACATAATGTTACAATATAAATCACGATAACGTAAGATTAACGCAGATAACATCCCATTTAATGTGTTGCTTACATAGAGAATTGCAAACTTTCCTAGCATCAAGTTACTGAATAACACTTTAGTAAACTGTTAAGGAGTTAAATCATAAAAGAAATAAGGAAACAAATTTGAAAAGATTACTTTGACCTTCGCCTCAAGTTTTATAGATATAAAAAATGCATAACACGTGTTAACTTCTAAATAAAAACTTACCTATTCCCACGGAATATAAAGTTAGAAGTATACTCCAGTAGGATACAACAATCTGCAAGTCAGGCATAATGACGTAAATCACACGCGTACATCAATATATATATATTAGATATAGAAGAAATTCTTGCTGAACAGAGCAGAACACATCTCATTCACCCGCACAACTTGAGCTTCCCCATCCCGTCTGGCTGTCGCTCGACAACAGGTCATCATTGGCAGAGAGCGCTGCTGCCTGTGCCCAGTCGCCAGCTTCGCTTCTCAGCCTGAACAGTCACCCTGATCACGTGATGATACTCAGGCGTTGGTGGCTTTATTGAGAACTGCATTCCATCACCCCTCAATGACCCGTATAGTTATTAATTTCATCTCGGAGGCGTTCGACATCGGACAAACATTGACAGCTGCTAATTATTGTCATGGAAATGATAGTCATCAGTCTCTACTCATTTTTGATGTATAAGTCTGTTTATTAAAAATTTTTTTAAAAATAACTTTTTTACATATTCTAATAATGAGCGTATTTTAAATATATAAAAAAAATTATTAAAAATTTTTTTAAAAATAACTTTTTTACATATTCTAATAATGAGCGTACCTTAAATATATAAAAAAAATTAAAAACTTTAAATAGGCCTATATAGAGTTTGTCTTAATTTTTTTAAAATTAAGGGTTTGGGTGTCGATCCCGGAAGAAATTTTTTCTTCTTGTCACGAAGTTAAACAGAATCTTAATTAACATGTTTTTTTTCCCTCTAAATAAGGATCAGATTGGATTGCATTGATGGGAAAGGCAACGCAACACTTGGGTGAGTTGTCAAAGGGAGTGCCTTCCGGAAAGACTTCCTATAGACTTAAAATTAAAGATTTTTTTTGAAATAATATTAATTTTGTGAATTTGGATTTAAGTTTTATCGAAGTTCTTATAAATTCATCGTTAGTCCCACTTTCTGAATAATATAATTCTTATTTAATACATTTATTTTTAAATTGGGCTGGCGGATAGCCTCTTTATAAGGTATTTCAATCTGTATTCCCAAGGAGACTCCGTGGATAAAGGATAAGGAATGCTATCCGGAGCATCATTCCTTCCTTTATCTCTTTTCCTTTCCCTTTTCCTTTATCCGTTTCATAATGAGGTGGCCGACCTCATTGTGGGCCAGAGTCTCATATAATGGATGTGGCTGGACATCTTAAATGTGCTAGTGAAGTGTTTCTCAACCTCTAACGAATCGTCGCCCCCTTCACTTCAAAATTCCGATGCCGAGGGCCAAGGCTAACGCCAAATTCGTACTGCATTGATAGACTAGTATCATATATAGTGATTAGTATAATGTTAATTGTTTAATTATTGTACGATATAACGAATAAAATATCTAATTATTCTTAATATAATGTTTTACTATATCGCCCAGAAAATTGTTTTTCGTCCCCCAAAATATAAATTGTTACTAATCGCCCCCTCAACATGGAAAAACGCCCACATGGGGACGATATCGCCCCCGTTGAGAAACACTGTGCTAGTGTCTCGATCATTATTTTAAAATTGAATGTATAAATTATTTTATAAAATTGAGTCGTTTTAATTGTTTGAAATAAAATAAAATCAAGCAAAGAGTTGCGTAACTTTCCCGGCAGCAGCATTTAAAATTACGTGTGGCACAAACTGTTTTGATATTGTATTTAGAAAAAAAACTTTTTATATTTATTTATTATTATTATTATAAAATAGAAAAAGTTTCGTTTTGATAATAGAGACGAGTTTTATAAGCTATATACAGTGTATACATATATATATATAGGCCTATACATATATATAATTGTAAATGCTGATAACGAATAAATTCTTCATTAAGTTCGACCCTAAACGCGATGTAACACACGACCCCTCTATCTTCCCACTTTCTAGACCTTTAACCACCAAAATTTAACAGAATCAGTCCTCTTATTATACAACCCTCCCTGCAAAATTTCAGAAATTTTCAACAAGAAGCACAGAAGTTATTAAGCTTCAAAGAGGGTAAGAAAATCGCGCCCCAAATACACTAACGTACACCAACGTCCAGACAGACAGGAAAAATACCAATGTTTGGATTTCTCGGCGTTTTACGGTTCCCTGAGACCAAAAATGTAAAAATTTTGGTCTCAGGGAATTTTTTGACCATACTTTTCCTCTGTTATATTTAACAGCCGGGAGAGAAAAAGTGGAGGATTTGCTGCTCATTAGTATTTCATATTATTAACCAAAATAAAGAAAAAATGTTTGGAAACATTCATTATCTTATGTATTGTTTTCACACAGAGACTCCACAGTTTGTAAGAATTTCCTGGATCTCCCAGTTAGAGAGTATTTCCAATAGAAATTTAGTAAACAATGGTTCGTTGTGACGTGGTATCCTTGAAGTCCAAACTCAACAACCATGGGCGTAGCCAGAGTTTTGTTATAGGGGCCTAGTAGAGGCCAACCTGACACAAAATTAAATTATTTCAAATTATTGTTCATTAAAATGAAATTTCCATAAGAATCGACGATAACTTAACACACATAAAATATGAAATTTTCTTTAATCATACGTTATCGTATGATTAAAGGAAATTTCACAGAAAAGATTGCACATTGGGCACAGAAAGCCGTTGTTGACATTTTTTTTAGGATCGGAAATTCTCAATTTTCTATAACTTCACATTGTCAAGTTGTACAGAATTATCGCTGATCCATTCAACCAATTATTTGAAGTTCAGTCCAATATTCAGAGATTAATTGCGGGCCGCGGTACACTACACTCAATTAAATTAGCTTCAACTTTTTATTTCTTTTTGCAAATTGGCTCAACACTCAACACGAACTTGCGACCTACCAGTGTTCAGTGGTTTTATTCACTCGGCCACTGATGATGCCCGAAAATCGGAAATTCGACGTGTTAAGATTACTGTACTTAATTTTGAAAATCTTGTTTTCCGCATGAGTCTATTCTAGTTTTTATTAATGCACAGGGTAGACATAATAAAATATTTCGTAGTCTACTTAAGACTTTCTGAAGTTCTATCGAAAGACCGAGAGTCACCAGATTTGGTAGTAGATTTTAGTAGACATTAGGCACATTGATAATTTTGGAGTCCCAAACATCTAGAGACCCGAACAAAAATTTGGACAAGAATCTTATCTTAAACAAATCTAAGATCTTCGCGACAACCATTAAAAAATTGGAATATTTTTATGTTCTTATCGAGAATATATTATAATTACAATTTTAACAAAATAGCTCATTAAAAACTATAATTTTATTACGAAACTTTGAGCAGGAGTTATTGTATTTTCATTTAATTTTGTCCGTTATGCCTATCCTATAATAATTGTCAAGCGACTCGACACACGAAACTGTCGCTAGTCAACGCACTATTATTTACATAAGTGAGGTCAGCGGATCGAAAACAATAGAAGTAAATAGATGTAATGATACGTAATGATATATGTATTGTTAGTTTTTATGTTCGTACAAGTATGTTGAGTTATAGATAAGATATCGTTACTCCAAAGATGAATACTTAATAATAGCTCTTTTGTTACCCTAATTACTAAAATTCTTTTCGTTCTATTAATTCATTACGTAATTATTGTGATAAAATAATTTTACATTAAAATTTAAAAACCTTATTTCGAATATTTCTCTTTACTTATATTAAGAAATATCCTATTCGTTGTTTCGGGGTCTTTGCATCGGGATTTATGAGTTTTTCTTTGAGATTACATCATTAAATCGCTTATTGATCCGATATTAATCGTAGCAATCACTCTCGTAATGTGATAAAATATTTCGTGTTTCTAATTATAACAATACTATATTTATAAAGATCAAAAATTATTTTATTTAAAACATTTTTAATGTTAAATGGGTATCTGAAATTAAAAACAAAAATATGATGGTGCCATTTGAAATGTAAAGTTGCCTCCTGCCCTCTTATCGGGGGCGGGAGACAACTTTAACAGATAAATGTCGCGATTTTAAGGAGCCTGGTCTTAACCTTGATGAGTGTATTAGTGGCCGAATGGATAAACCACTGAAGACTGATAGTTGGTCGCAGGTTCGGGTCTACGGTATAGTATCGTGGAGTTTTCCGGATTTTATTCATGTGCAAATTGGCATCTAAATAGGGACCAGCTTACCATAGAAAGTTTTCCCGGAAGGGACTCCTCCTTGGCAAATCGCCCATGGCGTATTTTATCAATCCCATCCAAATATTGATGAAAAAAAAATTTAGATGGAAGCAAGTCTAGATGATCCTTTTTCCTTAGCTCACTTAACTGATCAGAAACAGTAAGATACGTTTATTGTAAAATACACCAGAAAGTAGCAAAAGAATAAATTAATGATAGTAAGGATTAATTAAGAAGCATTTCATTTCAAATCGCCGTAATTTCTGAGTAGTGAAATTTTATTTTTCTTTGAATTAATTGAAGTCCAATTACAACAAAGTTTAAACAGGGCGTACAAACCTGGCGAAGTTCAATATATTAAACAGGTTTTTAATTAATTTTACAGTAAAATGTAGTAGAATAGATAGGATAGTAAGGTAATAGAATACAGTAAAATATGTAGATAAATTAGTTTTACAAATATTTCGACTAAAAGTGAAATTTTATTGTTACAATAATGGTTAAAATTCATTTATTTAAGTACGGATTGGATTGGACTGATGGAATAAGGAAACGCAACGTACAGGCGATATGGACTTCTCCCGGGAAGGAGGATTTTATGGGAAACCTCTATTTATGGGCACGTGAAGAAAACCCGTAAAACACGTGAGGCGCAAACTCTCGATCAACTACTACTAGTGTTTAATAGTTATATCCACTAGGCTACTGGCGGGCCTTAACCGAGAGAGGCTTTTATTACAAATACAACAAACTCGAGTTTTACAAGAATTATTCCGACAAGTTTTAGAAAATCATTATAATAATAAAAACAACTAAATATTTGTATAAAAATATTTACAAACTAGAAGAAACAATAAACGTCTTCGTATCATACCCCCCCATTTCTGAAATTCCTGTTAATTTCTATGATTAAATGTAAAAATTATCTTTAATTGTTTCACTTTACCTTTTGATATAGTGTATATAAATTACAATAAACGGAAATTCGTATCGCGGCTGTCACGCGAATGTACTACCTCAAGAAAA